GGGACAAGATGTTACAAAGCTGCTTCCCGAGCCAAACAATCATGCAGCCACGCCGGACCTCCAAGAGCTAAATAACCATGAAATCTCCCGTCCCGAGTAACACTCGAAGAAATCGCACGCGTAGTGGAATTAACGACTAAAGATTCAAGTTCAAAAGAACAAGAGTGAAACCGTGATCGAAGCTCACTGATTTGGGAAAGCAACGGCTTGTACTTTGGCCAATCTGTAGCCTTATGCAGAGCTTGAAAGGCTGCATGACAATCGAGTCCAATAACCACGTCAAAGAACCGTAAGTCCCATAAGCCTTGTAGAGGCCATATCATACATCGGAGCTCCGCAACAATGCGATTTGGGGAGCATGTGAACGCCTCTCGAGCATGAAACAAGACCGAGGCAGAGTGAGCACGTGCAATCCATGCTCCTCCACAATGTAACACATCATTTCGCCAACTCGAGTTCAAATTACACTTGATACTCCCATACGATGGTGGAGTCCATCTAACTGACCGGTTTTGATTACGTGCCCTATTGTTTAAGTCCTCCTGCGAATTGGTATTCACCGTCTTCCACAAAAAAGCTTCCTCAAAGGCTTGTTTTATCACTAAATTCGGAACAATCCGTTTCTGAGCAAACAGAATATCATTCAACTCTGTATACCCCATATACCCCAAACAATCCAAGGCATAGCTGTTTTGATTTCATCCCTCAACTCTGTATTTTCCATGGACTGCAATAAATATTCAAAATTCTCCTCAAGTACCGATGAGAACCCGGCCCGAGGCTGCGGTACCTCTGCAATTAACTAAAGATGTTGAGCCTCATTACATGTAAAAGCACATGATTAATGGTTTCGGGATCAATTTGACAAAGCTTGCAGAGTATATCAGCTTCAACTCCTCGTCTTCTAAGACGTTCCGCAACCGCAAGAGCTCCATTAAGCGCACGCCATAAAAACAATCTGATCTTGGGCTGCGTTTTGATTTTCCAAATGCGGCTCTTTAACTCGATTTGTTTGAGCTCCAAAGGACTTTTAGCCGGGATAGGAATGGGAGGATAAGTAAATATAAACCAATATCCACTTTTCACCGAGTAAGCTCCATTGTTGTTGTATGCCCAAATGAACCGATCCTCAACCCGACCAATCTGCATATCCGATGTCTGCTTCACATCAGCTGGGGGAAAGAGTTCTTGTAATAGCTCCATTCGCCACTTCCCATCACCAGAGATTAGAGACGAGACTTGAAGTTCCAAATCAATTAAGCTTTGCTTATTAAAACGTCTTCTAGGATGATCCGCCATGATCCACTTGTCGAGCCAAATCTTAGTACTCTCACCATTTCCAACAGACTTAATCAAACCATGTT